TTTGGGCCTAAAAATAGTCATTATTATACCAACAATGGTGAAACCATGTCCACCGAAGTACTGTGGAGTAGGGATTATAAAGACCACTTCTGGAATCAAAAACAACTGGGTTTTACAGTTGTATGCAGTTGTTTTCCTAGCTATATTCCCTAGAGTAAATCATGTTCCCGAGATCAGCCTCTCATCTCTAAAATAAGGGATCTTAATAGTCTTTATTTCATCAGGTTGCTAGGAACACTGCATGGGTTGTGAATGGAAAGCTCGTAGTACAATCTCTGGCAAATAATAGATAATTGCTGAATATTACACACTATTGTTTTAATGAGAATATAGTTTATTGTAAGCTTATTACTTCTAAGGCATCTCAAAGTGCATAATCTTTAATCCTGAAAAAAATCATCTAGGGTAATTATTGTTTGTATCCATATTACAGATGAAAGAATCAAGGTACATGTTCAAGGACATTTTGTTAGGAAATGGAAAAGCTCTCTTGCATCTGAAAACACATTAAATTTTATCAATATAATCAAGCTGATAAAAAGACTCAATGCATCTCTCCAATGTCAGTTTCAGGTTGACATTTGTAAAATTCCTAACATCAAGACAAAACCAAAAAAGATCTATCTATCTATCTATCTATCTACCTACCTACCTATCTACCTATCTATTTATTATTCCTTTGCTAGGGCTTGAACTCTGGACCTGGGCATTGTCTCTGAACGTCTTTTGTTCAAGGCTAGTTCTCTACCATGTAAGCCAGGGCTCTACTTCTGGATTATTTGTGGAGAGGAGTTAGTTTATTGGAGATAAGAGTATTATGGACTTTCGTGCTCAGGCTGGTTTCAACAGTGATCCACAGATCTCAGTCCCATGAGTATCTAGGATTACAGGCATAAACACCAGAGAATGGCATATTTTTTCTTATTATTTTATTTTTTGTGGTACTTAAATTTGCACTTCCTCCGCTGGTGCTCTACTACTTAGGCCACACCTGCAGCCTAGATTTTTGTTGGTTATCTTTGTGAAAGGAGCTTACACACTTCCTTCCCAGACGGGCCTCAAACTATGATTCTTCTACTCTTAGCCCAAAATAGTTAGAATTACAGGTGTGAGTCACCAGCAGCTGGCTCAAAGAACACTCTCCTAACCCACGCCATTGTAACTCCAACAGGTAAGAGCCCTCTTTTTGCTCCAGCATCTGCCAATTGGTCATTGGCTAGTTCTCTTCCAAGAATGTAATGCTTTCTATGAAGAAGTGAGATAGAAATAGCACTTTTTAATAGAAAAAAGGAAGCATGTAAGGAAACTTTCACTGACAGCCCCCCAAATACTCCTCAAGATAGGAAAAGATTCTGAAAGGATCTATTCACAGAGGGGCAGAATAGGAAAACATATTGAAGTAGCCCAAGCTAGAGTAAGTGCAATATTCACTAGTCTTTCTCAGGAAGAAATCTCAAGGTTTGATTTTTGTTATATTTTCTTCAATTTATTAAACTTGTAGAGATCTGGTATGAACATTTGAGAAACATAGAGAAAAGAAGAAGGATGAGGAGAAAGATAAGAGGAAAAAAGAAGTGAGAATAAACTAGAGAGAAATGAGAGATAACATGAGTTTCTGAACAGTATTGCATTAATACACTTGATGGTTTTGATAACATAAACTCTTACGTTTTGGAGGCTAGATGTCCACAACCAGTCTTACTGGGTTTATATTCAAGGGATCAACAAGGCTGAATCCTCTGAAGACTCTAGAAGAGAGTCTCCTAGCCTTTTTAGCCTTCTGGAGACTACCTTCTTTCCCTGCATCCTTACCCCTTTCTGAAAATACTGTACCCTCTTACTGTTGTGGCCACATAACTTTTCTGCTTTTCCCTGTAAGGGCATTTGGGATTGTATATAGGGTTCACGTAAATAATCCAGGGTAATTTCCCAGTCTCAAAGTCCTTAATTTAACTAAGAACAAATGCTCTCTGCAAATGCTAATTTGCCCTTCCTAATCCAGAAAAGCATATAATCAAAGGAAGCAAACAGCCATACTGTCAAGCAAAGAATGGCATATTTCCTAAGAGAGAAACATAAATTGTACACAGGATGAACACAGCACTTTTAGCTTCTGAGTTCTAGTCTACTTTCCTAAAGGATAATTACAGCAAATATTTATGTTGTTTGTTAGGTGTTAGGCATTGTTCTGAGTGCCTCACTTGTGTAACTCCATCTTCCTTATACAGAGAAGGAAACTAAGATGCAAGTATATGCGAAGTGACTTGCCCAAGACTATATTGAAATAGGATGATCTAGGATTTGAACTCCAGGTGTCTGCATCCCAACTGCATACTCTTGATCATATGAAAGGGAACTTGAAGAATAGATAAGCAGGCTGACCCAGTGAGGAAATAGAACTGGCAATGGAAACAGCGGGAACAGATAACAAAGATGCAGAGACAGTGAAATGAAAGGCCGATTCCAGTGGTGAGTACAACAGTTCAGATGAAACATAGTAAGCCTAGGAGAAGGAGTAGAAGACCAGGTCAGAGATCTCGCTTGAGTCCAGACTGTAAAATGTAAACATCCTTCAGAACGGTCCAGATCTCTGAGGTATGAGCAGAAGAGGATCTGGCAGCAATGTGAAAGCTGGGCCACAAGCTAAAGAGGGAGACCCTCTGGTATCATAGAATGTGCTTGCATCTCATATCTCTGGCTTTTTAGAGATTGAGGCCCTGTAGAGAGCTACTTGCATGTATCAATAGAGGGTGCAGTAAATAATAAGCAAAGTGATGCTAGGGCATAGGAGGCAGGTAAAGAAAGATATTAGCACTGACAAAAACAATAACACAATTTTTAAATGAATTTCTAGTGTCATCACTCACATGTACTGAATTACTTGTAACATAAAAAAAAAGTACCAAGAATTCTGAAATGTGTAAATCTACACTGAAATCTTGACCCTGTCACTGGATCCTGTGTCTTTGTAGGATCCTAGTAACTTCTCAGCATCCCAAGTTTTGATTTGTGGTGGGTTTTTTGGGGGGCTTGTCCTTTAAAGGGGACAAGATATAAATAACTCATGGTTATTATTACCATTTTATTTTTTATTGAATGTCACTATCTCACCTTTAGGTCCACGTTCTTTTTTTAATCTCATTTGACCAACAAGAGAAACCAAATCTCAGGGGAAAGACGAGAGTTACCCAACCACACAGAATGGAAACAAGGGTTCGCACCTGAAGTTTAAGAGTCCTAATTAAGTGTAAATTTCAAAAAGCCACCTGAAGGGAACTTAAGGGAAAGAGAGGGACATGTATGCCTCTGCAGTTCTTTAAGGATGCATGAAGGCATAGAATTGAGAACACAACTCACCTGTCATACTCAACAACCCTGGAAACCTCTGCAGAGAACTGTCAGCCTCCAATGGGCTGAGGGAACCCTGGACCCCGCCCAGCAACGGCTTCTGTGTCCCTAGCAACCAGGGCGCCAGCAGCCGCCTCTTGTGAGCCAGGTGCTGTGATTGGCCCGATTCCCAGGCTCCACCCCCAGCCCGTCTCCCTGGTCTCTGTGTAGTTTTGCTCTTGGAGAAGCACAGACTGCGCCCAGTGCCCAGTGTTTTCCGGAGTGGGAAAAGGCCCCCTTCGCGGTAAGGCTGTCCTGTTCTCTCCCGGGGAGAGGGTCGGTTGACACCGCGCCGAAGCTGGCATGGTCAGACAGGGAGCTTGTCAATCATGAATTCTGGTCCTGAAGTTTCTAGACAGCATGGGAGGATGCTGCAGGTCAGCTGGTTGGTGGGAGGGGTGGGGGTGGGGTGAGGTCCCTCGCAGGTTTTGCGCTGTCCACTAAGTGAAACTCAGTCTTGGGCAGAACCCTGCTCTACCTGTCAGGCCAGAACACTGGAAAAAACCTCCGCCCCTTACTGTATGTGACATTGTCCAAATAACATACCGGCCCTGCGCCTTGATTTCCCAGTCTGTAACCCAAGTTTTAGAACACAGTGGTTTCTATGGGACTCTAGAGTATCTTAGAATGGCCAGGTTGTCTGAACTTGGACTTTCTTTGACATCGCACCTCTGGAAATATTCAGTTCTGATCTTTCGCACCAGCGCAACTTCAGATTCTCTGGATTGTTGCCACAGCAGTGGGGGGACAAGCCCCTTTCCTGTATGCAGTGATTCTGCATACCTGTCATCTCATTGCCTGCCCTCCCCAACACACACACACACATTTCCCAGTTTGCCCAAGAGCAGACTGGAATCACCCTGATTTCACAACGGGAAAATGGATCTGAGTGGGACCTTTCCCAGTGTTCTACAAAACCTTGGCTTCATCTCTCACCCCATGAGAATCCCATCTGATGTCTTTAGTATAAGCAAGTTGAGTCCGTGGATCTACTTTGGTTGTGCTACCCAAGGAACATTAATTTACATATAGACATATCCCTGCACCCTCAACTGTGAGATTATAACAAGCGTACTGCTCACTTTTATAAGGGGTGTTAAATAAGATAAAACAGGTGTAGGGATGGCAAAATTTCACCTCCACCCTCATAAACTCCTGGTTGTGCCTCTAAATTAAAGTGTCAAAGAGAAGTCAAGCACATACATTTATTTAACCCGGGTTTTACCTGGGATAGAAGTTCTTTTAAGGAAATGAAATCTCCCCCAAAGCACCTAGAATCAGTTACTTATATGCTCTACTGGACAAATAATAGTAAATTGTGATGAAACATGTAACGTATTTGAGTAGGGAATTCACCTTCTCATCCCTGAAGAAAGGACAGGGTATGACTTACGTCTTCTGCTGTAGCCTTTCTGCACTTCCTATTTTTCAAGATCCTTTAACTTAGTTATTATACCAGAGTAGCTTAACCTTTTCATAGTGATAGAAGTCCTGGCAATATTATTGTTGTTGTTGTTGTTGGCAAGGATATTGTGATTGCCTGTTGAAAAAAAATCAACAGTAATGATTTCTTGTCCACCCTTATAGATTTGAAGAAACTTTTTAGAAACATCATGTCTTGGAAGACTCCCCACAGATCAGATGCAATGCCTGAGATCATAGTGAAAATCATTGGAAGTAAATATTTCCGATATATCGTCGAGAAGCCAACAATGTAAGTTTCCTGGATGAAAAATACCACTGTTTCTTGGACGATATTGAAATTGGTTCTTTTTAACCCAGAAATTTATCTTTTAAAAATGACTCCCATGGAAAAATTAACTCATTAAGATGTAACGGTAGAAGTAAAACAGTGTTGATAAGTTCTGTGTACACTGTTTTCCTGATATTTTTCATCTTTATAATTCCCCATACTCATTACTTGAGCTGATTTTCCAAATAAACAAAAAATATGAGTATTGCATTATTTATAAATATTAATGGAGTATCACTGCTTCTTTTCATCGAGTTTGTAATCCACCACATAGAGTAATTTGGAGGGGGAGGAGGATTCGGGGGGCTGGAATTATAGGGGTGGATTAATAATGTCATCAGTTGTAAAATTTTCACTCCTCCATGCATCTCAGGGTCCTCTGAGCATGGACTTCTCAACAAACACCCCTTTCAGATTCATCATGGCTACATTTGAGGAAAGAACTAATATGTCCCTAAAATTCACTAAATGCAATTTGACACAGAAGGGTACAGTTATCTCTCCTTTGTAGACTTTTAGTAGTTCACAAAGAAAGGAAGTACTAGAATTGACACCCCTTTTTCCCTTTGACAGTTCTGTGGGGTTTGAACTCAAGACTTTACACTTGCCAGGTCATCAGTTTACTACTTGGAGTCATGCTTTGATTTAGTCCATCCCAATTAAAGAAAATAAAGAGCAGTAATTACAACTTCCTTTCCTCAAAAGTATGTGTATGAATCCAGGAAATGGTATAAAAAGAGAATTTTGCTACACATCCTTTCAGTCTAGATAGAAAACCTAGGTCAGAAACAGTACCCTAACGTACCAAGATAACTGTTGAACAGAGCTTGTATTTGCATGGTCATTTCGTTAGTCTTGCAAAGACAAACGAGGAGGCCTCAAATGCAAAAGGCATTAAATTTCAACCCATTAGGTGGGCTCAAAGATTTGGATGCTGAGCAATCTATCATGGTCTGCAGAATAACCTATCTGAGGACAACAGGACACAACAGCATTTGAGGGGTTTCTATAAAATTAATGAATAGGATTTATAAGATCTGATAATTATTTTTTTCTTGTAGTGGTATTGGGGTTGGAACTCAGGGCCTCTTGTTTGCTAGGGAGGGACTCTATCACTGAACCACAGTTTCAGCATAACCTGATTTTAGCAATAACTAATTTTATTTGATTTTTCAAGAGGCTGATTTCTAGAATTTAATTTACTGTGATTAGTAAGTAACAAAGTGGTCAGATTGCATTCTCTCCATCTTGCTGTGTCTTTCTGTCTCTTTCAATCTAGTTAGAGAGACTAAAAGCTGTTCTCTTGAATTTCAGTTTTGCCAGTCCATCCTACAAGTTAATTTTGCTTGAAACAGGGATTCACAATCAAGTCATTTGGACTCACTGGCTTTAATCACTATATACTGCTTAAAATTATCAGGAAATCTAGAAACGTTTTAGAAAAATGTTCTTGTTCATTTTCCACGCCGCTGTTTCTCAAGCTTTTCTGTACATAGAACTCATATAAATGTTTACTAAAATATAGATTTTCTATGCTTGTTTCAGAAATTCTAGCTTAATAGGCTCCAAGATATACAGGTAGCTGTTTTATCATCCACTGTCATGGTCATGTGTGATTGTGAACAGGCAGTCTGAAATTTGAAAGTTAGAAACCATTGCCATTTTTTTCAAACAGCAAGTCCATCATCCTATCTGGATTTTTTTTAGTCCTTTTATTTTCTTTTTCAACTATTATTTCATATGTCAATTATTTAATTGAGTCATTTGTATCTCTGGTCTGAACCTCCCCTATGGTTCAATATTTCTTTCCATATGACTTTCTTTCAATTATCACACTCTATGTAGTTTTGTCTTTAAATCTCTGCCTTCCAAAATAACTAGGGTGTGTGAGTGTGTGTGTGTGTGTGTGTGTGTGTGTGTGTGTGTGTGTGATGGGGCCTGAACTCTGTGCCTGGGTGCTGTCCCTCAGCTCTTCAACTCAAGGCTGTACCACTTGAGCACCAGGCTCTATTGAGCCACAGCACCACTTCTGGCTTTTTCTGCTTATGTGGTGCTGAGGAATGGAACTCAGGGCCTCATGTATTTAAGGCTAGCATTCTACCACCGAGCCATCTTCCTAGCCCCTAACTAAGATATCATTGAAGACAATACACAGTCTGAATAAAATGGGTAGATTGGATGAACATTGAAATCTCAATCAAGGTAATAATGCACAGATATAAGAATGCTATAAACATATCTGTTGTTGTATAATCACATATAAAGAAAAAAATTACAGGAGAACAGATATATTGAGATGTTAGTTCTGTAAGCTAAAAGTAACTCATACCAAAGAATAATTGCTGATTGAATTGATTGCCAATTTTGCCACCAAATCATCCCAATTTGAGAAACCAATTTTATTCTGTAAAGACAGTAGTGCAATACCATGAAAAATAAATTCTGATTATTTTCATTAATGATAGATTTTGGCTCCATGTTAGGAAAAAAGAAATAAGTGTAATGAATTCCTTGTCTCTGAAAAGTACAAGGAAGCACTTAATGAGCCAGGCATTTGTGACTCAGGCCTGTAATCCTAGCTATTCAAGATGCTGAGATCTGAAGCCAGCCAGGCAGGAAAGTCTGTGAGATTCTTATCTCCAATTAACCACCAGAAAACCGGAACTGGCCCTGAGATTCAAAGTAGTAGAATGCTATCTTTGAATGGAAAAGTTCAGGGACAGCAACCAGGCCCTGAGTTCAAGCCCCATGACTGACAAAAGAATGAGACAGAGGGAGGAGAGGGAGAGGGAGAGGGAGAGGGAGAGGGAGAGGGAAGGGAGGGAAGGGAAGGAAAGAAGGAAGAAAGAAAGAAAAAGAAAAGTAGAAAGAAACAAAGAAAGTAGAAGGGAGAGAGAGAGGGAGGGCGGGGGGAGGGAGGAAGGAGGAAGGAAAGAAACCTTAAAACCTTAATGACCACTCCAATATTTACAGCAAAGACTAGGTTGGAACTTGGTCTAGATGCTGTTCTATGCTTTTTCATTAAGACTGATCAATATTTTCAAAGAAAGAATAAAACACCCGTTGCTTAATGGCATCCAGTAAATTATTGGTGTGAAATTAAGGAGCAAAGCTTTTGCTGCCTAAGCTTGCACAGCTCTGGGAAGTTCTAGAGGTCCACTTTACTAGCAAGATGGCTCCAGGCAACTGACTTAACCTTCCATTACCCTTTCCTTTTCATCTGCATACTGACAATGATAATACCTACTTTCCTGGTTACTAGGATAACATGACAATGTGTGTTGATTGATACATCAAAGCTTTCCAAATGTGTCCAAATGTGTCACCTCATCGAAGTACAATACTGAGGAGATTCAGGCACAAGTTTGGGGGTTGAATTAACACACTTCTGAGATGTTTCTGAAGACCAAATTTCTACTGTGATAAAAATACAGTACATAGGTCCGAGGCATGAAGAAAAAAAATCTCTCACACTTTGCCACAATAACATTTGATAAGTATTTTAGCAAAGGCTTCTCAGTTCATCTCCCTTGTAGCAGTTGGTGGGTGTTTCAGCTGTTTTCGAGTGCTGTGTTTTATTCTTGTTTCTTATTTTTTTTATTGTTAAAAAATAGAAATGTCTGCTTGTGTCCATGATATCTTATAACTTTGAAATAAGAGCATGCTTTTACTGCATTTGCACACTCTGGGCATCCATTCCAGAGAGTTTAAGGCCTGTTAGTTGGTTCACAGTTGGAAACTGGTGGCATTGAGTCACTGCCAAAGCTGGCAGACCTTTAGGATGGCATCTGGTGACCTTTCACAGAGCCTCCTGGGTCCTCCATTTGAGATTTTATGTTCTCGGCAGGGGTGTAATCCAAATCAAATGTGAGATCTGGTGAGGTGGAGAAACATGGGGAGTGAGGCCAAGGGGGATCCCTACAACGCCTTGGGCAGAGGATGCTACTACATGGCCTTATGGTGCTTCTTTGTAACCCTGAGACTGGAGAGCGGCACTACAAGCAAGAGCCCAGTATGCACTGGGAAACAATTGGACAGTTTCTCCTTGTTTGTTTAGTATTCCGCCACAAAGTCATCCTCCCTAACTGCTTCATGGCATCCCCAAGAACAGCAGAGGAGAGGTCAGAAGTATACATGAAAAAGCGAGCTATGCCTTGCTTCCAAGAGATGATGATGATGATGGTGTGTGTGTGTGTGTGTGTGTGTGTGTGTGTGTGTGTGTTTCTCTGTCTTTTTTTGTTGTTTTTTGAAATGGCAAACTTCTATTTTCAATAAGGTAGGTAGCTAGCTAGCACACAAGCCTGGAAGGGAGAACTGTGAGTTTGTGAACAACATAACAACAAATGTGTGTTGACAAATTGTTTGTGCTAACCACAGACACATGCTGCTTCTCAGCTGGAGAGGCATTTTCATGTTAATTTTTGACATGCTAGTTATTTTTTTAAAGACAGCTTTCACTTGAAACAGACTTAACAGGTTATTTTTGGTTTTCACATTTACTGTGGCTGCTTAAAAAGTCAGGCAGATTCATGTTAAAATTTCTCAAACAATTCTATCCTAAAACTGCCCAGGAGGGTTCGTTCTGCCCATGACCAGTTTTGCCTTCAAGTTTTACACTTCCTGCTTTGGTTGCTGGCTCATTCTGCTCATTCCTAATCCCACATTTCCAAGAACTCTCTCCTGACACTGTGGCCAACAGTTTGAAATCTTAGATCCATTCGTGAAAGCTATACAAAATTAAGTCGCACAGTATTTGTTGCTTTATTCTCCATTTTTAATCACAGTAATATGACTATATTGTGACCTGATCAATTTGCTCCATTGTTTTCTTTCATTCCCTCATCCACCTCTTTGAAATAATTTCAAAAAGTTTTATTGCTGTATTTTCATACACATGTACGGAATATTTCAACCATATTCGCTATACCTTTACCAACTCATTTCACCCTTTCTGCTCCTGCTAATATTCACCCTCAAACAGATCCTGTTTTCACATCCCTGTCATTCGTTATTAAGAAGTGCAAATGGCTGGACACTCATGGCTCATGCCTTTAATCCTAGCTACTCAGGAGGCATAGATCTGAGACCATGGTTCAAAGCCAGCCTAGGTAGGAAAGTCCATGACACTCTTTTCTATAACCACCAAAAAGCTGTAAGTGGAAGTGTAGCTCAAGTGGTAGAGTGCTAGCCTTGAGCAAAAAGACTCAGGGACAGTGATAAATAGATGAGGAAATATTTAACATTCTTAGCCATAAAGGAAATACAAATCAACACACTGGTAAAATTCCATCTCAGTCCAGTCAGAATAGCAATCATTAAAAAACAAACAACACCAAATGCGGGGGATACTGTGGGTATCAAGGGACCCTTATACACTGTTGATGAGAATGTAAATTCAGCCACTATGGAAATCAATATGGATGTTTCTTAGAAAATTAAAGGTAGAACTACTATTTGATGTTGCTATACCACTCCTAGACATATATATGAAGGAATATAAGTCATATAAACTTTCCTAATTTTTTTATCCTAAAAGAAGGAGAATATGAACATCTACTTACAAAGTTGACCTGAGGAATAAATAAGATATATAGAGAGATAGATGGCCATAATTGAATTTATGCAGTTAAATGCTCTGTAACACAATCATTTTTGTCATCATTATAAACTGTATTAGTTATTTTCACATTGCTGTAACCAAATTTCCAGAGAACAATGTAAAGAGAGCAAGTGCTTATTCTGGCTTACAGTTTCACATGTGTCCATCCATTATATCAAAAGGGGTGTGTTGCAGCAGAGTAGCTCACAACACAGCAGCCAGGAAGCAGAGAAAGGGAAATGCAGGAAGGGGGTGGGACACGTTACAGTCCCCAGGGTGTTTCCATATCCTATTCTAGTCAACTGGGCCCACCTCTCAATACCTCAATACCTTTCTTCACCTCTCAATGATGTTGTCACAGATTAGTCAATAGATCAAACCATTCTCAAGGTCAGAGCCCTCAAGACTAATCTTGTTTGGAAACACAATCACAGACACCAACATATTTACCAGTCTCCTTGTCACACCATCCATAGTTATTTCTCTTTCTTGTGAACTTCATCCAAATTGTTCAAATTCTTTGTAAAATTAACTTGGCATTTACTTCCATGTGAGTTAGGTTGTATGTTGCTTATGTAAATTCTATACCATTTTATTACTGCAGAGATACATCTAGATTCACAAAAAAAGTGTACAAAATTGAATTTTGAGTCACCAAATATGCCCAGACTGAGAGACCCATCAATATCCTGACTTCTAGAACCAAGTTCTTAACCAGTTATTAAGTTTCTAACTTTGTATTATTTTTTAAGCCAGATTTACATTTGTTGAGGTCAGGAAACCAACATATCTTCCATGTGGTCGGAACTATTCTCAACTGCATACTCTCCCTCTGATGTTCCCCCTGCCCTTGTCGCGCAGAGCACAAGGTCTGAGCACTCCATCACCCGCCTTCTCTGCCGTCCTGTGAGGAGCACTCAGTGTTCCTGATGGAGAGTATTTACCCGTCCAAACTGAGGTCACAAACATCTGAGTTGGGATCACCAATTTAACCAAACACTTGTCTTATTTTTCCAACCAGCTCTTCTCTACACTCTTACCAGCTATTTCAATCTGCCCCTAATTCAATTGTTCTATCTACCACTTCCCCCATGAGACCTAATAGGTAACTTTATCAAATTATCACAGGAAAAAGATGTAAGCTATGCACAATTTGATCAAATCCTTGTCACCAAACATGTTAGTTTGCCTACAAATTCATCTGTCTACTGCCTTTCAAGTTGCCTTCCTATGTCTATCCTTCCTAATGATCTTTTGTCAGCCAATTGTATTTCATCACTACAATAATAAAATAACAAATAACAATTAATCCTCTCCTTTTCTTCAACTAAATGGCACTTTGCCACTGCATTCCAGTGTGCGGAAGTCCCTACTATCTTTAAATCCAATAGTAACAAATCTTTATAAGAAAGCTCACATTCCATAATCGTTGCTATCCTATGCTTATCATCTACTGAAGCTTACGTTCATTATCTTTTCTGTCTACCTTTTCCTGTCCCCATCTTTCCTTTACCTACTAATGCTACCACCACAAGAACAATGGCAATTAAAAAGATACATATGGAGCTGGTGGCTCACACCTGTAATCCTAGCTACTCAGGAGACTAAGATCTGAGGATCACAGTTCAAAAACAGCCTGGGCAGAAAATTGTCCATGAGACTTTTACTTCAAACTAACCACTCAAAAAAACTGGAAGTGGGGCTGTGGCTCATTTGGTAAAGTGCTAGCTTTGTGCATAAAGAGGCTCAAGGACAGCACTCAGACCCTAAGTCAAAATCCCACAACCACCACCACCACCACCAGCAACAACAACAACAAAAGGACACATATGTCCTAAGCATTGTGTATAGTTTGGCCTTATTCAGATCAACAAGATGTGTGATCAAATAACACATCACAGTTAAAATAATCTTGTCTACTGTGTCAGTAATAGCATCAAGAATTTATAGAATGTTGTTAGCAATTTTCAAATTAATTCTTTCTGATTTCCAAATATTATCTCATATGGAAAATTTAGGCCACTAATACTATGAGATGTAATATAAAATGACACATGATTTCCTACAACCTAATAATACTGCTTATATCTAGTATAATTTTCTAGACTTAATAGACCACACATCATATATATACATATATAGTTATACTTTACATAATTGAATTAATCATATTTTTGCTTATTTTTATAATTGACATTAACTTTATATTACAATCATTCACAACTATTTGAACAGTTCCAAACATTCCACACATATAAAAGAAATGTTCAACATATCCACCCATTATTAAACATTGAGTGTTTTTAAATGTCTTCTTCTTCTTTAGTTTATATCCTTAAAAGTGTATCTATTTGACCAAAAAGTTTCATATGCCTAAGATGTTTTATAAGGTTGAAACCCATTCTACAAATTATGTCTCTTTTGGAGCTTCCTCAAAAGACTCCACATAGAGCTCCCCTATGACCCAGGAGTCCCACTTCTGGGCATTTACCCAAATGATCACAAACAAGACCATACTAAAGCTACCAGCACAACTATGTTTATTGCAGCATTATTTACCATAGCTAAGATATGGAACCAACCAAGATGCCCCTCAGTAGATGAATGGATCAAGAAAATGTGGTATATATACACAATGGAATTCTATGCCTCCATCAGAAAGAATAAAATGCCCCATTTGTTAGGAAATGGAAAGATTTGGAAAAAATTATAGTAAGTGAAGTAAGCCAGGCCCAAAGAAACATAGGTCCCATGGTTTCCCTTATTTGCAATAACCAGTATATGTCTGAAACAAGCAGAAAAGGTCAGATAGGTTGATATTAGGTGAAATGAACCCCAAGATGATTATTCAAATGTTTTTTCTTTCTTGTGATTTTTTCTAACATATTTATAAGATTATTTCTTTGTTGCTTTGTATGTCCCTCCCCCACAGTATAACCCCTACTTTCATTGTATTTGATGTTGGTATAATATGTGGAGGGGAAGGAAAAACAAATCATTTAAATAGGGATACAGATGGACCCATTGCAACAATGAGATGTACATGTCATTATGTAGAAAAATGAACTTCACAACTTTGGCCTGGGGGGGGAGGAGGGAAGGGGGGAGATAGGAACGGATGGGAAGGGGAAACAAAGGAGGAGGCTACAATGCTTGATAAGAAATGTACTCATTACCTTGCCCATGTAATTGTAACCCCTCTGTACAGTATGTTCACAATAAAAAAATTATGTCTCATAGAAAACATTTAGATTTGTTGTTTTCAGTATTTTTGATATATGAACTGATACCATTTTATTTTAATTCATTAGTCTTTCATTATTCAACAAGGCTGACGTTCAGTTAATTTTTTCATTAGCTATATTTTTCAAATCATTCTTGTTCCCCCCTTTCTATTCTCTGCTTAATACTTAATCTTAAATGGGGAGCCACTAAGAGCCTAAGAAGTTTCCAGCTTTGGCAGCTGAGAAAAGAAAGTACAGAGCTGGACCTGGAAAGTACTTCTTACTTTCTTCTTCTTCTCCTTCTTTTTTTTTAATGGAAAAAACTGAAAATATCTGTTAGAATTGCAGGGGGGTGGGTATTGGGAGAAAATGAGGGAGGGGGTGACAGGGTTCAACAAAATGTTCTCATTACCTGACTTGTGTAACTAACTGTAATTCCTCTGTATATCACCTTTACAATCAAATTGGAATAAAAAATAAAAATAAAAAAAAGAAATGTACTAACATTTAGGGTTCGAGTTTCACGCTATTTGCTACTTACACAAAGAGTTGTGGAGTGGATAGATAATCTTTATAAGTATGAGGAAGGAGTCAGAGAAAAGATAAAGCTTAAAATCGTAATAGCATGAGTTCTCTATAGCAAATGATCCTTAAACAAATAAGCAACATTCACTTTTACATTTCACAATGCTCAGATACCACTGTTCACACTGCTAGGTTAACACTTTCTGTTTCTTATGCCAACCTAGTGCAAGAGGAGTCTTCCCTGCATGTAACAAAGTGCCGTACTTGTTTCTTCACAGCAAGCAGGAGGAAATCCTGAAGGAGGAAACCCAAATAGCTCCCCAGAACCCCAACCCCATGGCTGGTAATGCGAAGCAGATGAGCAACAATGCTGAGGCTCACACTGGCCACTCTGATCAGCAAACCAGGGATAACCCATGTGATGTGAAAGATAACAACCAGAAACTCCTAACAGGAACACATGCCAATAGATCTGCAGATGGCCAAGTGAGTAAGAAATAATACTTAAACTTTTCTTGGTAATTTATTACAAAAATAGAGTAAACACAAGTTTATCCAAACTTGTGGCAAACTCCGTTGGTGCAAGTGGAAATTAATACATTTTGCATGAAATAGAAATTAAATACACATTTTTTCCTATCTGAAAATGAATTTCAAAGTCATTTTACATGTTACATCTTTGTTGACCACCGAGTTTTTCAATCTATGCCGCCTGCAGCTAACTCAATGCTACTCAGCAATGAATATAGCAATTGTCACTATCCATGCAAAGTTCCAGCCTGCTAGAGCAGGGTCTGGTTACATTTGCATTGCAGAAAGAAATCATTAATTTTCAAAATCCAATGCAGCTATGTCTACATATCAAAAAATTATAGGCTCCAAACTGTCTTGATGGAAATATATATCACTACATTCTGTTAAGAATCAACCAAACAATCCATAACAAATTGACTTGATAATGATGAATTTAAATGATTAGTAATTTGTAATTAAAACGTGAATATAACAGCAATTGAAAACTGGATCTAAATCAAAACAAAACTAATGATTCATTGATAACAAAGTACCATTTCCAAAAAAATTGCTGAAATGGCAGTTCAATGGATACATAGAGTAGGAATAGGGCAATGCTGCCAAGCAGTAAGTGACAGCCAGTTATTTTAGCAGAATGCTGATTAGAGTCTGTGGCAAACTCCAACGTACTATTTTTAGTTCATCATTTTAATAGTCCTTTTTATGTCATTGAGATGTTAGCCAGTCTTTAGTGATATGAGAAAATGGATGTGTGTAGATTGTGATCTACCCATAAGAACCATGCAAAATGTTACCAATTTGAAGTCGTTTATAACCCATCATTGGACTTCAGACTATATTCTACAAGGTGTAGTTGAACACTGATGTTCATTTATAAAGTGGCTTTTCCACTACATTTATGGCCCAGCTTAGGCTAGAATTCAAGTACTCTTGACTCTATTTAATGTATTCTTTTGTATTTCTAATGAGGAGTCATTGAATTCAGTGCCTGATTAGAGCAGAAGACAATGAATCCAAATAGATGAAATAATCTATTGTGGACTTCTAAAGACATCCATCTCTTGTCCTAATTTTGACTCTGGCATTGATATATTTCTTGTTGTTTTTATTGTCCCCCAAGGATGACTTCATGGAAATATTACTATTTAAAAAACACTTTGAGCTGGATGCTGATGGCTTATGCATCAGCATAATACTGAGATCTGAGGATCAAAATTCAAAACTAGCTTGAGCAGAGAAGTCCATGGGACTCTCATCTTCAATTAACCACTAAAAAACCAGAAGTGGAGCTTTGGCTCTAGCCTTGAGCAAGAAAGCTAAGGGACAATGCCCAGGCCCTAAATTCAAGTCCCAGTACTGGAGGTGGGGAGCAGTACATTTTTCTATTGGCTAATTGCCTCCAGGTATAGTTTATTATTTTGTCTTTGGAATTAGCCTTGCAAGGTAGGTGACACTGTTATTTCTGTGCAAGATTTCTTCTTAATCTTCTCAACTTATTTTTTAAATTTTTCTTTCTAATTATAAAATAGTGTACAGGCACCTAGACAGTTTGAAAATCCAAAGAATAGAAAAAAAAATGAGATGCTAAAATTTAGGCAAAGGATACCAGCAGTCTTCTTTCCTTTTCTTTCCTCTTTGGATAGATACAGAATGAGAATCATTATGTGCATATTCTCTTTTCCTGTCCAAATCACTCCATGTCAAGAATTCTCTCACTGGCATGAAAACCTTCATTCTATGCATCTTTAATGACTCTATGAGAATCATTCTCAGATAACACTTAGATTGCATTCACTATGAGCCAGGCACTATTCTAAGCTCTTCACATGTATTAACTAACTTACTATTCCCAAGAACCCAATGAAATAAAGACTTTTATTATCTTTAGTTCATGGATAAAGATAACAAGAAACAAAGAGATTATGAAGCTGACCCAGATCATAAGGCTGCAAAGAGGCAAAGCACCAGGGAAGCCCAAGTTCTAGGTCCTAAATCACCAACCTGCATCTGTTCCTTTGTTTGGATATAACACAGTTCATTAAACAGCTTTTATGAGCATTTAAACTAATTCTAGTTTTCCTCTTAAAAATGAAAATCTGTTCCTTGACACTCCTACTAGTGCACCTGGCTGCCTTATTCCTACCCTAGACTCTGCCTTCACCAATAGGATGGGTGCCATATTTACTGGGTGAGCAATTCTTGGGTCTCCTTGTTCAGGAGTCTTTGCTATCTCTGTAATACAGAGAGAAATGGTTTGCCCCTCCTCTTTTAGAACTCAGGGATTTGCAGGAGGCTCTGCAGGGCTGACTCCCAGCTACCAAACACAGGAAGGCCTCGTGGGAGGTGTGGGGACTGACTAATTGGTTCTGTCTGCCAGGCAGGCGTGTAATGCTGGCCTGCCAGATGGCAGCCACAGTTGCCTGGTACAGAGACCCTCATTACCACCTTGACTAAGTGGTAAATGGAATCCTGCCGCAGTTATAGAAGCAAACCAATCAGAACTCCTTCTAGATCTTTATCACTTGCACATAGATGAAAATAAGCTTTCCTGCTTGGCACATAACAGGCAATCTGGACCCACTGAATTTGCTCCAAAAAAGGAGTTGCTGATAAAGACAGAGCTAACATGAGTGAGGAAGGGCAAGAGCAAAATAACAGATTAAGTCCAGAGAGAATCACTGATAAGAGATAAGTAAAGATAAAAGTTATGAGAGCCCATCATTTTATGTATACAAGGACAACAAGATTTCTTAGAACTGGACAAATATAAACCTTTACAAAGGAAGAATGAGAAATCCAGAGAGCTTAAATGACGTGTCTGAGTTCTTGCAAGAAGAGAACTTGGTTCTTCTGTCCTACAACCCTGGGATCTTTTTCTTCAAAATTTTGTTCCTTATAGGTAAGTCTATGAAAATATATATTGTTTCTCAAAGCAAAAAATAAATGGAAAAACGGGTGACTAGCAATAAATTCAGTAGCACAATTTCAAAACTAAAATTAGAGAATGCCTTTTGAATCTGGTACCATGAAAATAAACCTAAGTACTTTCTTTTTAATAATCATTGGAGTTGATAATTAGGTGTACATTTCAAATTCTTTTGCCAAGTCTTTTTTCTTCATTCTCCAAACTATCCCTGTGAGGTGAGTAGAAACACATGATGTAATATTCCTCACTGAATAGCTGAGTAGACCGGTGTGGACGGCCTTCCTACTTAGCTTGCATACATCCCTCAGACTTAACATGTTCACAACATAATATTGATCTCACTACCTTACCCTGCTTCCTAGGGCCTATGTCTCACAAAATGTCCCACCATTCTTCCAGTTGTACCAGCAACAAACTCGAGCAAGTTTTCCTGCTCTCTCCTTTACTCTGATGTCTAACTAATCGCTCCTTCAGGCATCTGAAAATGTCTTCTTTCTCTCATTTTGTCCATTTTATCCTGGTCAGAACAAAATGCTAACTCTGCCTTGAAACCTCTTTTGTATTATCCAGCTACGATAGTAAGCACTTCTGTGTAACAACGCACATAGGATTCAGTGGTTTATAACAATAATCGTGTGTGTGTGGGGGGGGGGCGCGCGTGTGCGCGTGCACACACACACACACACACACACACACACAAATGCCTTAAGGTTGTGAACTGAGGCACACATCTGTATCTCATCTGGATTTGGCTCCAAACTGTTCAAGTCTGCTTTGTTTACCTTACGTTGAGGCAGATGGGTTCTCCAAATACTTCAACCCAACAAATTCAAGGGCATAAGCAGGTTTTAAGTTATTCCTTGAGTCACGCCACTATTATCCCATGGGGTAAAGCAAATCACGTGGGAAAGCTCAATACTAATGGGCCTAGGATATAAATATCACATCTTTAAGGAAGAACTTCAACACCACTTATCAAGTGGTGCCTCTCTCTGCTTAACACTCTTAACCCAATTAATTGATAGATCCTCATTGCCCTAGTATAAACTTCAAATGTGCTGACTCATCCTCTTGGCCCCACTCTATCTGCTATATTTCTGTCCAATCACCAATCTTCCTTTTCAAGGAATAAAGCTCTGTTCCTATTTTCCTCCCATCCTTTGTTTATGCTAATTCCTTTGGGTGGAATTCTTTTCCCTCCATCTTTATTTGATTAACTCTTATTCCTGTTGAACTCTCAAATTAGGTATCAACTCCACTGTCTGATTCTTCAGACTGAGGTGTCTTTCCTACTGTACTTCTAACCCAGTCCAGGCATAGGTCTGTAGTTGAGTTGTCTATTAAAATAGATTATTTTCTTGGCTTCTGTGATGTCTGTAAGCCTCCTTAAACTATGAACAAATGAGTTTGTTTGCAAAATATTTCTAGCCGTGTACTACCCCTGAAGCCAACATATAATTGAATGAGGAAACATCAGTGAATTTCCTATTACAGTCTAGAAGTCAAGATTATCCACTAATTCCACTGGTTTTTAGTACTAGGCTGGTGATATTAGCCAACATAAGAAATAAATTACACACATCATCCTTAAGAAGGAGAAGAGAAACCTGTTTCATCACCTTCAGATAAGATTACACATCCTATGATCTCAAACAAGGGAATACTAATAAAACAATAAAATTTGACTAACTATAAAATTATACTAACAATAACACACATCAATGGCTTTCATATACATGAACAAAAATTAGTTAGAAGATAAAATGCACAAGGAGACACCATTTACAATAAAAAATAAGAAAATAACATTGACTAAATAACTAAATCAAGTGCCAACAATACAAATAATAAAAAGTCTACTGATTTATGATAAAAATGAAAAGCATTTTATGTTCTTCAACAAATAAGAGTTGACATGATCAAGATATAAATCCTCCCTGAAGGAGTTTATAAATTTGATGAGATTCCAACAGAATTTTTAGATTTTTGTTTGACTTTGGCAATAGCCATATTGGTTATCAAATTA